GAATAAAAAGAGCTGCTAAAAGCATAAACAACTGTGTTAAATCATTTTCATTTATTCAGAAGACACAGCGCTGCGCACCAATGGCTGTGTTACCCCCAATTTACACTACTTGCGTTCCATCTCCGCTCCAGTCCGACCTCCACAGCAAATACGCATCCATTATAATCAATGAGTGTTTACACTGGCTGCGCACGGCTGCGGTGAGTGGACGGTGATGCGTCAAAATTAGAACAGATCCTATTTTTGACAGCTGCCGGACAAGCGCCGAAGTCAGTTTTTAAAGATTACGTCACACCAACAGGAAAAGAAACTAGCACAACATACGTATTTTCAAAATAAGACACTTACGCTGGCTAATTTGTCGGAATAATGTCGAAATTGCAGCTATGTTAAAAAATATACGGATATAATTCTACACAAATGCTGTCAGAATCTATTGTTCTGTTTGAGAAGCAGATGGAAACATGTAGCATGAAGCACATGTGTACACACACGATACACGTGGATTTTATTTTGAAATCAGAAGTTTCAGAAAGCCGACAGTGAGACAGTTTCAACATAGATATCAAACACCTTTATAACGCTGCTTTCAGCTGTGTTTGGAGTTCGTCTTTCAAAGAATTAATTATTTATTGCTGTGACTTCCACATTTATCACTGAATTTATCGCGCGATCTCCTTCCTGCACGTCTGTTGGAGCGGAGCAGAGGTAGTGTAAACTGGACTTGAAACGCACAGCTGCGACTTGCGCAGCGGAGTGGAGACAGAACGCAAATAATGCAAATTAGGGGTTAGATGAGCATATGATAGATTCACATTGAGCATATGATGATGATATAGATCAATATTTTCATTTTGCCTTGATATAATTGAATCATTAACCATTTAATCAACATGGACTGATATAGTTACATACCTACTGGCAACCTACTAATCACAGGATCACCTTCTCTATCCTCAATGTCACCACTCTCCTCTGATGCAATTACTATAATAAAACTGCTATTAAAATGAAATGTCACGGTGGTACTGATTAAAAAAAACACCTAGTGTATATCTGTTTTAGCAAGGGGCTGCAGACTGTTCAGGTTGCCAACATGTGGCAACATCTAGGTCTGAATAAAGGAGGTTTTAAAACACAATGGGTCTTCTCAGTCTTTAACAAGCTTAAATAAATGTCACTATCACCAAAAGCCCCAACCGTCCACATATAAGTATCGTGCTGCCTGAAATTAATGTGGAAATTACCTTTACAGATACCACCCACATAAATTTTACATTTGTTTTTATCATAAGTCTGACTTTCACTTAGTATGGTATTCATCCACACCAGACTGCCATCCAGGTCTTTATGGACCTTGATTTGTGCATTGGTGCTCCAGTAACCCACGTCCYGGCAAGGGACACAAAGTTCCTTSTTTTTGTTTGTCTGTAAGAGTTTKTTCAATCATTKTTTGTTTGACCTGTCACCTAGGACCAGTCTGCCATGGGAGACCCTACCTGGGGCAATCAAAATTGCCCCTGACAGCATAGGTCCTTGGATCATTCAGGCGCACAAACTCCTCCAAAATGATAAGTTCAACAGAGGAGGGATTTTAAATATTTTTTATGTTAAAGGTGAAATGAAGGCTAATTTAGTTGGTGAAATAACTGAATAATTTGATAGTATATGTTGTATGTAGTGTGAATATCAATAAAATGTATAAATATTGTTGTAAATTTGGCCAAAACATGTAATTATCTACAAATTGCATGAAAACCATACTTTTGAATCCCATTCAAAGCTCCAGCTGGGGGCGCAGTTTGTGTGACGTGTTATTTGCTGAACGACTCTTGCTCCTCGTAGGATTACATGTAGAAGCAGCTTTTGTTTTTAAGACTACTACATTATTTTGTGAACTTGAAATGGAATATTGTGTGGTCTTTGGGTTCACAAATGGTGCAGGGTAAACTGCTAGCTTTTTAAAAAAAAATTTAAGATCCTTGAGGGCAGAAGGTTTGTGTTMATGCGATGTGGACGAAAGACTGGAAAACAATGAATCCTAGCTCTGCTCAGACCATTTAAAGTGTAACTTACCCCAAAATTAACTTTTTTAGCTGATAAACTGTCTAGAATGTGTCTAAAATGTTATATAGTAGCTGTTTCTGTGCTAATTTTGATGTTTTTGTGCGGATTTGTTCAAATCTGTAATATTTGGTCTAAAAACGTCTTTTTGCTGCTCATATGGGTAGAGCAGTGGTACTGCAGGCTAATTTGCATATTGGTTAACGGCTCTCCACGGTGACGTGTCTTCTCCACGGTTTCGTCACAGCGGCTGTGTTCTGGTATAAAAGCCTCTCTCTAAGACACGCCCCTGCACGCCCTCTGTCAATTCTGATCCCACAGAGAGGACAATCTGAGGACAATCTCACACGCTGGACACATTTACATCTATTTTACATATTTAAATGGAGGCGTGTCAGGGGAGGTGTCTCACGTGCGCTCAGTTCCACGTTCATTGGGATGTATAAAGAAAGGTGCGCAYGAACCTGTGCACGCAGTTTTATACATCTGAGTTTTTTGGTGCGGCGCATTTTTTAAAATTTGTCCATACGTCAACTTTTAGTGTGAAAGCTGCGCACTCCTTTATGCATGAGGCCCCTGGAGTTTTGCGTGGAAAAGGGCATATTCAAGCTTTTTGTGCGTACGCACTGTTAATACGAGACCCCTGGTGTGCCAACTAGCCAAACCTTCCAAGCTGASCTCATAAATGCTTGTCTCCTTTATCTTGATGATGGCTCAAGTAGTAAAGGCCCTGTCACACTGATGTTTTACACAACTCATGAAAACTTTATGACATTACTCATTTAAGTTATATATTCAATCGAATTGTTACCATTGCTGTATGTATATGTTCAAGGGAAGATTCCAGTAGATTTTTTTAACTCAATCTTTAGCGTAGACATATTTAGTGTTGGACAAAATTGTCACAAGTTGTCTGTTATAGTGTGACAGGGCCTAAAAAAGTGACTAACAAATGCACTGTTCTACAGAAAGGGACCATTAAACCTGATTGTATAGCTTACCTCTTGCCCAGCGCACAGGATAGAGGTGCTTCCACAAAGAACCAGTCTTGGCCAGTTCTGTCCATGAGCTGCACACTTGACTACAGCGACACAGATCCATGGGGCCCAGGAAACTGAAGAGCCTCAGCAGGATTTCTGTAGGAAGCTGGGAGATGTGGACTGAAGAGTCGCTGCTCTTTTCCAGGTCTGAGAGAAAGCACAGCAGTGATAAGATTCACTATTATTAATGTCATTCATTTTCTAAAGGTGATATAGTATCATGAAGTCAGTTTATTCACACTAACCATAATCAGTTTTCTCATGATCTGCATATTTAAAGGCCTTTTGCAGCTCCTCTGCCTGGGTCCACAGCCTGAAGCCCTTCAGCACCTCAGCAGCACAGTTTGAGTGTTGTTGGTTGCAGTGCTGAGCTATCACCTGTTTCTTGATGTCCTTCAGCTCTTCATAGGTGAAGTATTGCATAAGCATAGGCTGAAACACCTGGAACATATCTCCTCAGTTTAAAACCAGCTTACAGCAAAGCAAACCACAGGGACAAGAAGGTCACACAATGAAAACCATCACAGTCTGATCGATATGAACATTTGTACCTCCTCCTCCTCCTTCATGTGCGGCAGAAAGTCCTGGGTGAACGCCTCGAGCCTCTCCTTCAGCTGCTGGGCATAGTTCAGTTGTTCGTATTCGCTCTAGAAACACAACAATTAAGAATTCATGGCTTGTGTCTGTAATCTCTTTTTTTTTAGTCTGCCACAAGAGGAAATTCGCGTCAAACACTTAATTTTCATTTTGCTTTGTTTGATAGAAAATGAATCTTTTGTGAACATTTTCACAGATGTGTGACGCACAACATTCTGACTGGGACAGTTTAAAACYCTATTGCATTGATTTACAAAGTAAGGGACATGTTCATTGGTAAAGCTCTTATGTTAACACAATAATTGTTCCACACTTGGTCTATTGTGTTGAGGTATGGGGAAAAGCATATAGGACTATTACACAACCTGTTTTTATTTAGCAAAAAAGGGCTATAAGAGTCATCACTTGAAAAAAATTACCTTTATCCCTTAAATATATTATTTTGTAAAATGAAATTAATGAAATGCTATGATTTGATTGATTATATTTTGTTAGCACACCAAAATGCATTACCTTTAAA